TTTTTTTTTTAAAGAGAAACAAAAATCTTTTTTTTTTCTTTTTTTTTTGTTTATAAATAAAATTTCAACTAGATACGGCAATAGCTATAGTGACAACATTGCAGCGACTGAAACTGATTTATTTTGTTTATTGTTTTTATTATTTCTGTTTATTATGCAATTTTTTTATTGATATTTTTTTTTTCTAATTATAATTAAACATACGAGTTTCCGAGAGAATTGTTTTTGTTTTTTTTGATATAATACACAAAAGTCTGACTAAAGTCTTTGACATTCGTCAGGCTATTGTTTTTTTCAGTATATTTTTTTTTCGCATTATTGGTTTTTTATCTTAGAGAGAAAGTAAAAATAGAAACACTTTAAAATTGTAAAGTTATTTATATTAATCTAAGAACTTTGAACAAAGAAGAAAATTCTCTGTACATATATGTTATAATTATGAATTATGAATCCTTACGCATTTATAATCCAAGAAATGGTTTTTGTTTTGTATTTTTTTTTTATATAAAAAAAATTGTATTAATATAATATTCATTTAATTTTGTTAAAAAAATTCGCACTGAACAATTGTTTTAGTTTTATATACATATTTTTTTGAGAGAAAAAAAAATTTTGTAAACATAATTATATAATTATTTTTGTATGATAGTTAACTAAGTAATTTAAATAAAAAGAATTGTTATTCAAATTAATAAAACCTAAATATTGAACGCTTTTTAAATTTAATATATGAAAAAAGGGGTATATGATAGAGTTTTATGTTACAGAAAGGTAAAAAGTGTTGTTTTTGTTTCCTATATTATTATATAATTACTAGTCAAATGAACAGCATGTCCGGCTAGGGTTATTATAAGCTCTAAAAGTTGTACAGGAATATGTCATGAGGTATGCGTACGATTAAAATGAAGTAGACTACTTGTGAATATAGAACAGGTGACAGGACTGAAAGACCGAGAAAACTTACTGAGGGGGGGATAGTTGGATTCAGAGTGTATGAATGTAATCAATGGCAAAAGTACCACGTCTCAGTCGGTTACTATGAACTCACTTATAAATATATATAGAATTTGTCAATGGCACGATTTTTTTATTTTTGTTTAATGTCAATGGTGGCCAATAGTTCCCAAGAACTTACACCACAAAACCGGCAAACATACCGGGCCTGCCAGCGTGCCATGCTAGGCTTCTAGAACCACCCTTATTACAACAAGGCTGACACAACATTTTATATGCAAACACCTTTTTGGGAAAATGCAAAAAAGTCTTACATATATGAAAAATATAATTGCGGTGTATATATTAAGTAGCATAAGAGTAGATTGAGATTAACCACAAAAATTGAATGGTAAAATAGATAGCATGAAACAACAAAAGCTTAATAGACCTTCAGAATAAACATAGAAAACACCTCGGTTAATTACAAAACTCAATTATGAACTAAAGCATTGAACATACTAAACATACAATAAAGCCGGAATGAGATATCGTAATGTTAACAAACTGACAAACTGAGATTTAATGTTTTCATGGCGCCCCGAAAAATACTCGTCGTGCCGTGTGTACTAGGGTCATAACAGCATCCGGACGGAGGAGAAGTAAGCAATTTCGATTCTTTATGTTAAAGTAAGAAATCTGAGTAGTTTATTATTCTATTATCTGCCTGAATGCCAGTACATATATCATTAAAGAATTTCGTGTAGCACCATATTTCCCAACTTAGAGTCGTATGAGTAGCGCCATTATAAAAAAAAGAGGAAGGGTATTTGGCATTAATGAGAAATAATTAGTGCATTTCGTAAAGCAATGGTGACGAAAATTTATATATTAATATATTATAATATATTATAATATATATATTATATTGTGAATTTATATATTAATTTGTAATTCGAAAAACGAACTCGGTGACACTGCGTTTTATTTTTGATTCTGCAAAAATAGCTAATAATCGAAATAAGAAAAATGGTGGTTATTTTAGAATTTTTAAATAGAAGCAAAGCCTACAAGTTATGCGTCGAAAAGTAAAAGACAAATGGTGAGTTTATTATTATTATATCAACTAAAAAATGCATGCTTTATCAAGCCTCTGAAAACACACTTTTTGTTGCTCTATCACTTTGCATAAATATTTCATATATAGATTCAGAATTATTTCTCGTTGGTTATTCGGCAATTATCAGAAGAAGCGCGAAACTTCCTAATGAAATGTTGAACTACATTTTAATTTGTTTTTTATAATTTTTGTTTAAATTACTTCAAGTATGTATATGAAGTCGAAAACGTCCCAAAAAAAAACCAATTAATTTAATTATATCTGCAGTTCTAGGCGAATACGATTAACGATAGTGATAAACATGATGAATCACCAGAATAAAATACTATTAGGTGTACTCATATAAAACAGTATAAACGGCAACCGCGCTAAGCTCAAATATGAGTAAGTAA